TGCACACAGCAGCTTGTTTGCTTAGGAAAACACACTATAAAGACAAGCTTGAGCCATATTCCTGAGGGAGAAGCCAGGATAAAATTTCTAAATAAGAATTACCGCTAGAGCAACAGGAGATGCAGATGATCTCTTAAGGGCTTTGATTCTGCTGGCTAGATGGCAGAGAGATGGGAAAGCACTTGCATTTACAGTAATTGAACAAGGAAACAACAAGCATGTAACTTGGAAAGATGGAAACCTTTGTTGCATGAGCTGCAAAAGAATATGTTTGCTACTACATATATTTTCCCAAGTTTCCCAATCGTTAATAAGTGCTGTTCTTTTTTTCTAATTTATCATGGCCTTGAAGAAAACAGGACTTTGTTCTGGCTCAGTGCTACAGAGCATAGTAATAGTTTAATGTTTCCATCTTCTCAAAACTGTCTTTCTTCTGCAAACAGACCAATCTGTGTGGACTATGGAATGTGCAGACATGTCTGACATCTTGTGCAGCAGTCTTATCCTCTACTTCTGTAGCCTACAGTGCCTCACAAAGGTCTCAACCCTGGAATTATCTTTGCCTGCAAAAAGTGCACAAGTATTTGCTGAACCACTTACTTGAATCAGCACCTGATAACATTGCTACTCAGGAAAGACAGATTAGTTCAACAAAGCTCAAAATCACGTATCTAGCTCACATCAGTGGAGCACCATTAATGTTTGAAGATATGGAATTAAAATATCCTTCACTGTTTGCTGAATTCAGATGATATATTTACATAATCAGTCTTTTAATTCACCAGAGACTGCTATAAAAGTCAAGAGGTTTTTTTTATATACTTCAATTGCAGAATCCAAGCCTTAAAAGGCTACAGTGTTGGGCTAGATCCTCCAAGTACTGGTCACTCAAATGTACTATAATATATGTTCAATATCGTTGGTGCAGAATGGGAAGCCATTGGAGGACCAAAACTTTAGAAATCCCAGCAGCTTCTCTGAGCCAACACTGCATTGCTGTTTCAGAATTATAAACAACATTAAAAAGAATATATCTGACAACCAGAAGCAGAGCTTTTAAAAATTAACATTCTATCATTCTCCTTAAGTAGCACAATTCTGTTTCAGTTTGCTTCGCTTCTGGGTTTTTTTGTTGTTGTTGCTTTTTTTTTTTAGTTTGTTATCACAATTAACTGGTGAAAATAATTAAGATAAAAATATAATCTTATTTTATTTCCAGTGGACTTAATTTATGCATTGGACAGAACTTTCCATATGTTTAGTTTATTGCCCCCCTATACAAACAGGAAAAAAGAACTATTTAAATTTTTAAAGGTCTAAATTTTTAACGGAGCACATTCCTCAAACAATATTTTTCTCTGAAGGGAATTTAATCAGGTTTTGTAATTTTTTGAATAAAAAATTCACTGTGCTAATTTACCTGCGAGCTAGTAAAAAAAAAAAAAAAAGGGGGGGGCAAGAAAACAGGTATTTTTAACGCTCATTTAAATATTTCTTGCCTTGTATTGCATTTAATCTTCATTCCCTCTAATCAGTATGAGAATATGATTACTCATATGACATTTTTCAGCATAATGATCAGATTATGTCTTACCTGATGGCATACGTAGAAGCTGTACACATGAGGAATAATACTAACACCATAATGACTCCAGTCAGACCTGGAACTAAAGGAGACATCAGGTAACTTACATCTGAACTGTGAAGAGGTATTACTTGTCTCCCATGACCTTTTAGGAAAGTGTAAGCTATCTGATATACAAATAATGATTGAATCAAAACTCCTGCATGTGTTTATCTCTTGGAGACAATTCATATATCAAACTAGATAGGAAAGAAGAGCTGTTGTGTTATTTCCCAGCTTCCCAGATAAAACTGTTCTTTTCCTTGCATTTCACTATGCATCACTAATTTCCTTTGCTCCTGCAATCTTTTGCTTACAACATTTGTCTCTAAACAGGTAGCCAAGAACAAATCCTGTCTCTTTGTTTGCTTGTAAGACTGACTGTACAAGTTTCTATATCTCTCTCTTATTCCAAATCCTAAACTTTTAAACATGACAATTAAAAACCTGGTCAGGGACAAAATTTTGAGCAAATCAATTTCTATGCAAGCTGTCACTACAATTGTTTGCCAACCCATTTCGTCCTGGAATGAGAAAGAGCTTGAAATTACTCTCCATGGCATTGTATCATGCTTGAAATTGTTGCCCACAGAGCAAGGTCTGTGAGACTGATCTACAGCCAGCATTTGAGAAAGGAAGGTTAAAAACACTAAAGACTGAACTCATATGCTCAAGTGCATGCTCCTGTATCAGAACTACTCTGTCCTCCGCTCCTTTTTAAGTCAAAGGAGAGGAACGAGTATTTCTACGGCACGATTCATCTCATCCTAAAGTAGAATCCTGTCCATATAGTACAGCAAAAACCATCAGCCTAAAAATCCCAACCAAAGTTACCACTTCTGAGCAACTTATCTTCAAAATTGCCATCCCAGGAATTAAGAATCTGAATTGGGAATTAAGAACCTGAAATCCATGAAGCGTTAAATCAATATATTTTCCTTCTTGAAGAATGAAAGTTTTTAAGCACAGTCTCTGGTCACCCTAAAAGCCATGTGTTTGGGTTTAAACAAAGTCAGTCAAGACAATCACCAAGCACAAATCTAAGTAACTGCTGTTTTAGTGTCAGTTTATAAGCATCTCAACCTGCTTTCATGGACATAAATGGCAAACCCACCAATTTTAATGGTCCAGGATCTTTTGCAGGATCACATCATAATGATAAGAACAACCTAAATTTTAACTAATTGATTGTGATTTTAGACCTTCTAGTGATGAAGAGACATTTCAAATCTTATCTTTTAATAAACTTCTCAATATCCACTTGTTGAAAAGTCTGCCACCCAAAATCTGAGACAATCCAAATCACTCCTGTTTACAAATTGTAGGAAAAATCCCGGTCCTACAATCAGTGGAAGATTTTTCATGGAATACAAAAGAAATATAATGTCATCCCTTCCTGAAAAGTTTACAATTAAAGCAGTTGCAATTAAAACTGTGCATTCTTTCCCTTGCCTCCTTCTTAATGTCTTCTTTCTTAATCTGATATGTTGTGTGCAACCAATTTCTCCTCTGCCACAGATACTTCCAATACAACTGCTGTACAGCACTTGATCCAGCTTCCTCCACTGTCACTCAAGCCATCAAACTGCAAACATTAAATCACTCATAGAATCATAGAATGGTTTGGATTGGAATGGACCTTAAAGATCATCTAGTTCCAATCCCCCTGCCATCAGCAGGGACACCTTCCACTAGATCAGGTTGCTCAAAGCCTCATCCAACCTGGTCTTGAATACTTCCAGGGAGGGGGCATCCACAACTTCCTTGGGCAACCTGCCCCAATTAATCAGTGCATTTCTAGTGTTTCCTCTCCTCCCTGTTCCACTCTCTCTTTTCCTCCACTAACTGTAATCTTGAATACTTTTTCCTCCTATAGCCTCACACCCTTGTGCACGGAGGTTCTCTCCTGGACTGATCTGAAAAGCCATCACACTATAAATCCTTCCAAATCCCTATTCCTTCTCTTCACTGTGGTAAAAAATAATAATAATAATTAATAATAATAATAATAATAAGTAAAAAATCAGTCAATTAATCTAGTTCTAAACTGAGTGGGAAGAGACCATTTTTTTTGCATATTTGTACAGCTCCCAGTGCAGCAAAATCTTAGTCCCTGTCTGAGCATTCCCATGGTACAAATAATAAATGCTAATTAACAGTTGTTAGGATGGGGAGTGATACGAGTAATTTTAAATTTAAGATGACTTGGAACCAACTTAGAATCAACTGCTTTTTGTAACAATCTGCTTAAACTTTTGAGAATACATTATTTTCTTGGCTGTCAGAGGGTAAAAGGACTTCCACCTTGCAGGTCCTCTGCTCAACTAGAGAGATCTCAAGGTGTCCCCAGAAGCTGGGACAATATTTGATGGGGCCTCTACACTAGTTCTCCACCCCAAGTCCTTCTTCTTCATCCAAGAAATCAAATATAATCCTTAGTTGCCAAGTCTGATTCTCCATCCCCATCTTCAACTTCCCCTTCCATCAATTACCCTCTTTCAAGCCTCCACCACTGATTCACTAACTATGCCAGTTACCCAATCTATTTCTAGCTAGCAGTTAACTTGTACTTCAATTTCTATCATTTCACTTTCTCACTTCCTCTCCTCTAAACTAACCTTAGAGTTTCTGGAAAGCCCTTTCCCACAGGCTGGCAATTCCAGTAAATGTATTGGGACAGGTCTAGGAACCCATTTATTGCTGTCCAGACTGATTCCTTTGGGCCTCGTCCTAAATGCTGCCAAGTTGGGATTTTTGCATTTGATCTAAGTAAGAGTGAAATAGAGATAACCTCAGAAAGGACCTTTACCTGCTTCTGAAGCACTGCAGCTCAGGCTTGTGCACACCCAAACATTGCTCCTTTTTAAATTCCTGCATCAAAAATGTCTTTGCTTATTTATTCTTTATCAGTGCTGAAGCCCGATTCCTGTGTAACAGTTTAAATGACTCTGAAGTCAAACCAACCCTTAAACACACCAGCTGAAGCAAGAAGACTGCTTTTTTCTTGTATTTCTTTTTCTAGAAACTGGATCATTTAGAAATTTGGTTTTAATATTATGCAGAATCTCTGTTTGAAACTGATGATTTTCCACTGACTCATCTGTACAACAACAGCTTTGAAGATGCTGCTCATCCTGCTACAGGGCTTATGTAACTCCTCCCTCCTGACTATTGGATAAACAAACCCAGGTTATATTAACACAAATAACACATCTCAACCTAGCAGAGATACAATAAATGGAGCATATGAGTACAGGATCAAAATGTTTTGTCTGGGGAGTGACGATGCAGCAAACTTTCCCATTTAATTTTGCAAAAGACTTACCAGTAGCAAAAAGCAGTTTCCTCGGGTCCTGTAAAACAGACAGACCAAAAACAAAAGTCAACATATATGATTTTATATTCATATGAATAACATATAATGTCATCTAATAACAATAAGTAGTTCATAAAGCTCACGTGTTTGATGGCATAAGCAATCCCTAAATCTGGATGCAGGAATGGATTTGGTAGCAGTTTACACTGAGACTGCAATTCAGCCTAAATTAAACCTTTAGCCTTTGCATTGCCCCAATGAAGACACTTCTGACCTGATAGGATCCAGTTAACTGTACAAATAATATTTTTTTTAAAGTCTAATTCTACTCAGTTACCTCATGCCTTTGGGAGAACAGAAGGGAGAAGAGGAGAGAGATATTTTGAACTTAAATGAAAGACCAGCAGTGAACATTTTATTGCCAGTTACATCACCAAGAGATTTGCAGTGGACTCCAGTGAAGCAGGGCTAAACACAAAGGAGCTGACCATACAAGGCCAGATGTTCGTGTCCTTCACCACATATAAAAGGAAGAAGGGATATGTCAACCTCACAGGAAACTGCTTCACTCCCCCTGAGTCTTACACCTCATGAGGTTTTGTCTTCACTGCAGAGAGTTTTTTTGGTTTTTTTGTTTGTTTGTTTGTTTGTTTTTTTAACTTTCACTAAGATACAGTGAGGGGAAATCAGCAGTTTTCATACAGGTCAGGAAAACTGAAACATCTCTCTCCCTGTCCTTGTCTGCATCCAAACACGTGCACCCATGTACAGAAGATAACAGTAGCATCCAGACTGACCACCACAGTTAAAAAACAAGTTTAAGTAGAATTCAAGCACAAAGGTTCAAGAGCAACTACAGTACTTAAAATCCGTGAGGTTTTGATCCTAGAGTTACTAAAAACTTGTTATTATTTCCGTTTGCTATTGCAAAATTCCTAAGGCTGCTTAGTACAGGCTGCCATGCACACCCTGGCACATTCTTGCCTGAGACAAGCTCCTACTAATGTTCCTGATGAGGCTAAGTCTGTTAGACCACTCCTAACACATGCAGACACTTGAGTTCAATCCAGAACCTCCGCACAATAGTTGGTGTTGGCACGCCTGTCTGCCATAGAATAGCTCGGTGATTAGATCATTCACCCAGAGAGTGGAAGACCTTGGTTGTTGGTCCTTATGAGCCTGGGCTGAGTCAAGCTCTCCTTTTCCAGGAAAAAGGATGCAGCTGGGATAGGGTCATTCTAAATCTTTCCTAGTGAAGCTGGTAGAAAAGAAATGCAGACTTGAGACTAGAATTAATATAAACAAGAGAGATCTTGATTGTAGCCCAAAGAAGAAAGAGTCTTGGAGTCTGGTCTTACTCCTAAAATCTGCAAACATTTCTCCAGTGCCAAATGCACAAGCATGCACCTGGAGGAGGAACTAGAACTGTGGTATGTCTTCAAGAGATCTGCATCAGTCAGAGAAGTCATGCAAAGTATTTTGTAAAGCAGAAATCAGCTTTCAGCCCAGTTCAGGCAGATAACTAACACTCTTAGCATATATACTACAGTTCCCACTGCTGTTTAAAAATGCAAAATCACTCTCAAATCTCAGTATCCTCAAATCCCTGGTAGATGCCACTTAGCACTATATCCTAAATACTGCAAATGCAGAATGTATTTTCCCAAAACAGCAGCAGAAGTGTCTCTACCAGGCCCACCCAAGGAACGAAGAGAAGCAGAAGAAGAATAAAATAGGCTATTTCAGTTGGAAAGGACCTACAACAATCACCTAGTTCAACTGCTTGATCAATTCATGGCTGACCACAAGTTAAAGCATGTTGTAGAGAAGCAGAACAAGGTTTGAAGACAGCATTCTCCACCTCACAATCCAATAAGTCTGAATCCTGCTGACTTAAACAAAGTGCTTAATATATGCTCTGTCCAGAGAAAGTAATAAAATCCACAGCAACCCAAATGATGATGAGTTTTCAATGCACAAAATCAGCAGCACTGTACAGGTCATAAGATGGACCACACAATGGAATTGGATGTACAAATAATCATGTACTTACAATATATACTTAAAAGCAAAATATAAAAGGTCAGCTGGCTCACCTCACCACGATAGTTTGCTGCATTTAGTGACAGAAAGTCTTCGTTGTAGTTCTCAGAGAAGTTAAGAGCATTCACCAGGTGAGCAGCAACATGTAAAACTGAAAAAAGAGAGTAAAGCTGAGATCCGTAAGCAAGAGGGATGTTCCCCTGAAGTAAAGTAGCTACCCAGATGCCAAGCCACAATCACATCACCTGCATGAGATGCAGCAGGGACTAAAGAATTATTTTTCTCAAGTAAATCAGGTTATAGATATTCATGGCAGAAAGCTGTATGTATTTTAAGATTTTTTTAACACTACAGCAATCATTTCCATACTGCAATGCTTCAGCTGGGAGACAACATTCAAAGGTGTCCACTAAAGAACGTTTCTTTTTCAGTGAAATGGGTATTTGCCTCCACTGCTCCCTCTCCTGCAGATAAGCCTGTAGCATTCTGCTTCTTCACTCAAATTCCTCAGGCACAATCAAATGCCACTTATAATGGCAGATTTTGACCTGATCTCATATACCTATCCTTTAAGAAACTGGAATTTTAAGAAAAGGCTTGGAATTAGAATGTAAGCCATGTGTTTAAAGGAAAAATAAACCAAAACCCACGCACATCTGAGAAAGAATTCATAATTTAAGGCAGGGAAACATAGAGTAAGACTACCCCCAAATGTACTGTACAAGGAAAACCACAAAATACTGCTTTAATGGTGCTGCTTCTCAGCACAGTAAGGTCTCACCTGAAAAGATGCATATTGTAATACCACACGTCACATGGAAAGTTTTACTTTTATCTAGCAGCCTTCTGGTTTTCCTACTGGCAACCTAATAAAAGAAGAATTCAAGCAATCTCTTTTCTAAAACAAAGCAAAGAAAAAAATACTAACAGCAATTGAAGCAAATTAATAGCACCTTCAGCTTTTACTAGGTTTAACACCCTTGCAAGTGCAGTGTCTAAATTTGAAAACTACAGGATAATGTCAATGAGACAATTTTGAGGTCTTAATGAAGTGCTGTAGGCATCACTGATTCTTTAGCAGTGGGATCAGAGGGATATGGATCTATGTATATTTGCATACATATATACATCTTAGGCATTAAATTTTATAGCTACTGTCACATGAACAGAACTCATAGGTTCAATTTGCAATGACCTAGAAAACATAGATGTTCCTCAAAAGCATCAGAACTTCTTTATCTCTGATGATGATGAATATATCAGATTGGGTATTTTCATTTAAAATTCCATCATCTCCAGTAGGACACTTGTGGACATGCAGAGATGAAGTTTTTTTTGCTTTGCTGAATTCTACCAGTAAGCAGTACAGAGGACCCAGATGCCTTTCATGTTAGAGTTGGTAAAGAAGGAGGAGGTTTCATCTGGTTACAGTCCGACAGCAAGTCCCCACCCTTCAAAAACTGGTTGAAGAAAACCTTCCTCAAAGGTCCAACCAAACCAGACAATGCCAATCAAGGCATCGTCTTCAAAGGGGTCATGAATCTAGGCTGAATGTCAGATACTTGCAACATGCAGGCACATACTGCATAATAAACAGGTATATAACAGATTTTTTCCTATAATTTTTAGACTAAAGAGACCAGAGCACTGTTCTTCTCAACTGCAGTATTCTGAGGACAGCACTTACCTTCTGAGATCCTCGCAGGAAGGCCAAGAGAACACGGCACATTGGTAGAAGGACCAGGCAGCAGTTGAAATTGAGGACAGATGCTGAAGCTCTGCTAACACACAATCCTAGCTGAACAAATACAGCAAGAGTTAGATTACAGGGAGAAAAGATGCTCTAATGGTTCAGGGGTCAGTATTCAACCTCCTTTTCTTTGCTGTGAACCCGAATGGTCCCCATGCTCTCTTGACTCATCAAAATAGTGACATTCCATGATGTTTCACATGTACTGGAAAAACCCCTGAGCACATAGCATACTATCCTGTTCTCTAACGGAAACAATTCTCACTCCCATGCTCTCTTGACTCATCAAAATAGTGGCATTCCATGATGTTTCACATGTACTGAGCACATAGCATGCTATCCTGTTCTCTAACGGAAACAATTCTCACCTTTGCATCAAAAAAATCATTCAAAATTAATCTTGTCTGCAATAATGTCAACAATTACAACTTTCTACTGAAAGAACCAAGATCCTCATCAGTCCTCAAAGCCACATGGAACAAAACATATCTGAGACAACAACAAGCATCCACTGAGAAAGTACCTGAAAGCTTCCACAGTCATGATTAAATAAGAAAAACACTATGAAGCCACTAGACAGTCACTTAAGTAAAGTGTAATGATTTTCTGGTAAAAAAGCCAGAACAAGATGTAAAAAACACACTGATTCACTTAAACTGAAATTATAATATTGTTTCGAGGACTGTTACAGAATTGTCATAGAACTCCTCATCCATTTACACTATGCAGTGCCATATTTAGACCTAAAGAAGTAGGTTTTCTTCGTTTTAACTACTCAATAACTGGGAACTGTAATGAAATCTAATTTCACTAATGCTTTCACTGGTATATTTGGAACTTACATAATTAGAACAAAAATACTTGTCAAATAAATGAACAAAGCACATGTTAATGTCATAACCCTGTATTTTTTAATCTCATTATATTCTCTCATTCATTTAAGATTTTTTAAAAAGTTATCAAAATGCTATTGTTCTCCCAGTTATTGGGTTGAATTACCCTTTTACTAGCTTATATAAAAGATGCTTTTAGACTGTCAGCAGATTTCTGGAAGGATATTTCTTACAATGTTCTCTAAATCCCAAGTTTTTCAACTCCTGAAGAAATTAATTAAAAACTATTATAATATTGTAAGATAACTCAAATACTGAAGAGGTAGATGCATGATGCGAACAGGTACAAATTATCTAATAAAAATTACTAAAGATTTATTACTTTTTCAAAATAAAACTTTATGTTAAAAAAATTGTTATTTCTCAGTCAAAAAAATTCATCAGTGAAATATTTATTAGATACATATCTTTCTTATCAAGAAGAAGAAATAAAATTGGAGAGAAAGAAAGAGCTTTTATTTATTTGGAAATATATTAATTTTTTTTTTAGTTAGAAAATTATTAGAAAAGCCTTGTAATTTCAAAATTTGTAATTACTATTAGTTGACTTATCTACATGTCACAGAAATGGATGAATATATAAAGTAGTAAAAATAGAGTACCCAAAATAACTGGACTCCAGCATGTCTAGCAAGATCACTAGCACAACAGTGTGACAGGAGCTTTTGAGTACCATAAAACATCAAAACTGCCTGCCCTCACAGTTTGCAGCACCCATGTCCCCCACCTTCTCTGCAGTACATCTGGGCACCAAATCAGTGCGCAAACAGAAGATAAAGACATTCAATCTACCTGAAGCACAAAGCTCTCCACCTACATCTCATTTTTCTTCTGGCTCCTTTACATCATTTAGTTAGACATGAGGGCTAGGGACCTCTTCATCAGACATTACCAACTTCCACAGAGCAAAGCAGTTGTAAAGGTACCTTCTCTCAGAAGCTGGAAGTAGGAGCAATTACTCCACAGAATGTGCTCTACTTTGTTCTCTGCCACGTAAATGTGGGATCTCTGGCAAATGTCCTGGGAGCAGATCTCATGAAAGTTACAGCAAGGAACACTTACAACAGAAGCATCTCTAACCTACTGAATTATAGAAAAGACTAGAATGAACCACATCACCTAGTTCTTTCCCACTCTCCAGACCTCCTCCACTATTTCTTCCAATGCACTGGTAATCTTTTTTCCACACAAAATCTCCCTCGCTTCTGTTTCATCTGTTACATCACACTCTGTTCACATGCACAAAGAGATATTATTCTTGCTACTTTTCCCTCAGAAGTCATGTTCTCAGACTTTACATATGCCCTCCTCCCCTCTCCGGACTCTCCTAGCTGGTCAAGAGCCCAAGTTCAATGACTACAACTGAGCACCAGTTACAATGCCCACAACCTCAGCAACTGAGCCGAGATTTTTACTGAATGCTGATGTTAGTTTCCACTTAAAAGTATGATCAAAAAAAAGTGAACATCTACAATACATATTTCTCTATCCTTGCCCACAGTAGCTTAAAGTGATTTTAGAACATTGTAAATATTTTTGGACTATCAGATAAAACGGCAATACCCTTGACAAGATTGAACTTAATGGCAAGTAAAATGACTCTATAATGTGCCATTTGCATATAAGACTGTCTCTATTTTCATTAATTATTATTCCTCTAAAGGGAAGCTAAAGATGAGCTATAACTTCAAAAACATGGTCATTAAACACATAAGCATTTTTATTAGAGCTTGCTGATGTGCTACAGTATTTCAGTGATCAAATGAGCATGACTCGAAAAACACAAGAATTATGTAGAAGTAATGTTACGTCAAACCCAGAAGTAAACTAAATCATTTTTGTAGCTCTTGACTAACACTCAAAAGCTGGAAAAAGTTGTCATACAATTAGTAAGTAAAGCAATTAAAATGTTATAACAATTTATATTATATGACCTATATGACACCTAGTTTCTCAAGAATTTATTTTGGGTTTAAGTTTAAACATAAACCAGACATGATATCAGTTATTCAAGACTTCCTTTGTCAGGCACAACTGTTCTTGCAAAACTTCAACAAAACAGTCTAGTTTGGAATAGTCTAGGATAGTGTTAATTCTACACTGTATAATATTAAATAAATAATTTAGTGTAAGAAATAAGGAAAATGCCAAACAATTTAACTGGTGCAAAAAATATGAATTGGCTGTGATGAGTAGAAAAAGCTACCCTACTAACCTTCCTTTGTGTTTTTCCATGCTGCTATTTAACAAATAGTAAATGTTCATTCATAATGCAATTACTATGGAAGAATGCCCTCACATCAATTCTAATTCAATGCTATCAGCATCTGTACAAATAAAAAACAAAACAAAAAAAAAAAAGAGAGAGAGAGAGCAGGAAACATCTTCTCCAAATATTCAGTGCATTTCTAAGAAACTGTGATTCAAATAGTTTCACCAATGGTTCATTTAAGGTTTTTTGCTGAAGAAATAAAGTTGGGAAACATTTGCTGCAACAAGCCCATGACCAATTTGAAAACAATGGTAAAGTAATACATTTAACAATGCTTAGAATTGCAATTCATTCAAGTCCCAGAAGAATAACAGAGTACTAACTTTGCTTTTAACATATATCCAAAGGCTAAAAATATCCCCATGAAACTAATTCTTTCCAAATGGTTTCCAAGTGGTCTCTTTCTTGACTTCCTTTTCATTGCCTGGGTGGCATAGTAACAAAATAACATAGCACATTGTTGAATTTTTAAACAATAGTAGATTTTTTGCACCAAGGCAACTCACTGCTTCCAGAAGGGAATACATATCCTTATTAACTAGCTATGAAATGAAAGAAATATAATCCTCTTTTCTTCCTAAGATTATAACTGGGTTTTTTTTGTTTTTTTTTAAAAGGTGCTATTTTATGTTACCAGCATGTGAAATTGCTTTAAGATCAAAAAGAGAGCAAATAACCCCCCCAAAAATCTCTGCTGGACACTCTCTTTCATCCACCTTTGCTTATATCAAACCCAAGCATTTGACAGCCTCCTTCTGTACTCTGCCTACTCAGTACCACGCACACTGTTATCCCATTTAATTGAGAGGCAAAGAGACATATCAAAACTAAAGGATTAATCAAATTCACAGAGGAAATCTGTGACAATGATAGTAAGGAACTGGACCTACTACAAACTCAAATCCTAAAAACTAGGCTACCATTTTTTTTCTCCAGATGAGTTTAAAGCAGTCACCATATTTTCCTTTTCCATAGCAGCAGCAAAGATCTCCAGAGATATAATGGGAATTTAAGTTCTCCAGCTATCCCTGTCTGATGTACAGTCCCACAGAAATCAGGACGGACTCCTGGCTACATTCAGACAATGTGCAAAGCAGGACAGAGAAGCAAAGAATCAGTTCTTGTTGGATGTTCTGTGTGCTGCAGGTGAAATAAGCCTCTCTGTAGTTAGGCAAACAATTTCACTATTAGGTTGAGGGCTAAAGTAATTTACTGTGTATCACAGAATTCCCCAAAGTTCATCAGTTAAAAACACAGAGATGAACATTGCGTGCAACTGCTGTGCACAGAAATCTAATATTCAATACATAGTTGCAAAACATATTAGGGAGCATAACACAGGAAGACTTCAACAAATATTGTCCTATCTCACCTTTTAAGCTCACCTTATAGGGGGAAGGAAGGAAGGAAGGAAGGAAGGAAGGAAGGAAGGAAAGAAGGAAGGAAAGAAGGAAGGAAAGAAGGAAGGAAAGAAGGAAGGAAAGAAGGAAGGAAAGAAGGAAGGAAAGAAGGAAGGAAAGAAGGAAGGAAAGAAGGAAGGAAAGAAGGAAGGAAAGAAGGAAGGAAAGAAGGAAGGAAAGAAGGAAGGAAAGAAGGAAGGAAAGAAGGAAGGAAAGAAGGAAGGAAAGAAGGAAGGAAAGAAGGAAGGAAAGAAGGAAGGAAAGAAGGAAGGAAAGAAGGAAGGAAAGAAGGAAGGAAAGAAGGAAGGAAAGAAGGAAGGAAAGAAGGAAGGAAAGAAGGAAGGAAAGAAGGAAGGAAAGAAGGAATAACACAAATCCTTCCATACCTAAAATGATTTGATTCTCAGGCCTTCACTATCTGCAAGCAACAACCCTAAACAGGTCATGGTGAAAAGAGACATCACATTTGACTCTCTCTCTGGA